ACTTCCCCATGCCTGCACACCTGTCAGATTAAAAACTAAGTTCATACAGCTGCTGTGTCCCCATAGTGTAACAGGTGGCTCCAGCCACATGAACAACCCACTCATTCATGCTGTACAGGACAGAAGATCTGTGTGAATGTGGCATTTTGTGTTTTTTTTTTTTTTTTTCCTCAGCCCATTAAATTCAATGGGCTGCCTAACGTGTGGGAACATGACAAAATACTGCAGGCATATTATTTTCAAAGTGTGTTGCACCTAACCGCACAGTAGTGTGGTGCCATGCATTTTTGTGGCTGTGAATGAGTCTGTTTTTTTAATAGACGTGTGTAGGTGCAATTACGTTTTCATCAAGGTACCTGCGCACATCTGCAGAGGGCATTACATTTCTTTGCTGTGCTGGAAAATGTGTGTTCTTGCATGCGTTTCTGCACCACAAATGGTGTGAACAAGTTCTAAGGGCCATTCACACTATAGAAACAGTCTAGATGTGTTCCTGATACGTTTTTTCATGCCCTTTTGGCATGCATGTTTAGTGTGTTCCAGTACATTTTGGATGCATTTTGGACATCATTGCATTGCATTTTTGTATCCCTTCCAGTTAGTTTTTTTTCTACTTTCTTTTTATTCAATTTAATTAGGGACATGTGCGTTTTAGTACATTCAAGGGTGTTTCAATGTGTTCCAGTACAGTTCTGTGGAGAAACAATGCAGCGTGGTCAACTTTGTTTACAGCACCTGCAATGCACTGAAAATGCAAGCGCTGATGTGAACTATGACATTGACAACCATGTAACCTTCTGTCTGTGCGTTTGTGATGCCAAAAAATTAACTGAAACACATGTAGTGTGAACTGGCCCTAAAGGTTATTAGAGGTAAGGGAACGGGACTGACCAGGAATTGTGAATTCAATCAGATTAGTGGTGAGATACAATCAGCAATCGTATAACAATGTGAGATCTGAGCTTAGCTGATAGAAAATGAGACACATTCACTTGATCAGTAAATAAATAGTTAAAAAGAGTGGGGCATGATCCATAGATTTGCACATGAAACAGGTGATGATGGGGTGGGGGAGAGGGGTCAAGTTGTATAAGGAGACAGGTTTAAAAGAAGATAAAAAAAGTTACAATGAAATATACACAGCATGAAACTTGCACATTTCCAACTTGTCAGAAGAACAAGACGCAGGTAAGATACACCCCCTTTCCACTTTCTAGTCATTAGGCAAAATCTTAAGTGATTGATCAATATTCTTGGCACTGACACATTCATAAATGTCAAGGAGCTTATAACCGAAGGGCAGAAACTCAGCCATGTACTAGGCCCAATTAACCTAACAGCATGTCTTTGGAGTGTTGGCAGAAACACATCCATACAGGGAAAGCATGCAAACTGGGATGCAGCCATGACTGGGATTAGAACCCATGACCCAAGTGTTGTAAATTCTGAGTTCTTACCACTACGCACTGTGGGAGACAGTTTAAGCCTCAATGTAGAATAGTTACATTGTTTAAAAATGATAAAGCGAGCACTGGTCAAATTATATAGACTACTAAAATGGTATTATCCAAGATAAATATAAATCTAGGTATAGATATGAAGGTAGCAGCTAGCACTCAGGGTATTGGCAACAGTCCCAGAATAGAAATATGTTAAAGTAATAGTGCAGCGCTATGAATGCATGTTATCAATCATAAACGCATGTAAAATCCGAAAAGTGCAAATAAGTGCAGAAAGATGTAAACTGGTAAATGGTGCTAAAAAGTTCAGCTAATCATTCCTGAATAATGGAATGTCCTTCGTGTGAGAGTACCAATTCAGAGAGTGCCTAAGAATGACACGTGTGGTTTATCCGTGACGAACAGTAGTACATGAACTCGTGAAAGGTAATCCACCCTTGGGAGAAGTGTACTACACTATTAAGCACCTTTCTGGCTCCTGTGGCTGAGCTAATTCCTCCCCAGGACCATTTTGGCACCCACCCTGATGGATGGATGGAGCTGGATGACTAACCCATAGCTGCTAGCATACCGCTGCACCCCCAGATGTGTGATGTGTATAACCCATGCACATTAATACTTTTGTTCTGGTGAGTGTACACCCGTCCCAAGGGTGTATTACCTTTCACGAGTTCATGTACTACTGTCCGTCACGGATAAACCACACGTGCCATTCATAGGCTCTGAGTTGGTACTCTCATTCCATTATTCAGGAATGATTATATAAACTTTTTTTTAGCACCATTTACCAGTTTACATCATTATTGCAATTATTTGCACTTTTTGGATTTTACATGCGTTCATGATTGACAACATGCATTTATAGCGTTGCACTATTATTTTAACATAGAATAGTTACATGATTAAAGAGAATGAAGATATATCATTATATTGGGAACTAAGAACTAGACATTCCAAATTATTTGAGATATAAGTGTGAAAATGTTTAACATTTGAAAATAGAATGTATGACATTCATTAGTAAATGCATTAGTTGTCTGATCCTTTTGGAGAAACAGCAACCCAAAAAAAAAATATAGGTGTACTTTTTACTTTAAATTATAAGTATTCTCATATTCAAACAGAAAAACACCAACGAGACAAAGCCTGCGATTGTGCGTCACCTAGGGAACATATCCGGCATTGCACCTAAAGATGTGCCAGACGCGATTCCGCATTTACTAACAGGAAAGAGTCTATAAAGTAGACGCTTTCAATGAATTTGCTAGACGCCTTTTAGAAGACTGACAGGTCTAGAGTGTTTGAATTGAGTCTGCCTGAATGTTCAGCATCTGCTGGTAGACTCAATTCTTAGTAAATCAGGGCCATAATGTCAAGGGCCTCAACTCCATTCAAAAACGGTGGATGGCTTTGAGGGAATTTCGATCCTCAGGAGCAGACATTATTTTTGTCCTGGAGACCCATTTCAAATCAACTGGCTCCTTTTGTTTTGCCTCAAGATTTTTTTCCCAAGCCTATTCGGCCTTTGATCCTTCAGTGAAGGCTGGGGTGGCAAATTTGATTAGGACACACTGCTCCCTTTGGGTTGTTTCCTCCAAAGTCGACCAACGAGGTTGTTTCATTATTTTGGAATGTATGCTTGGTAACACACCCCTTGTTTTGTTGAATTTATATGCCCCGAATATGGGTAAATTGCAATTCCTTTCCCAAACACTCGCCAACTTAGATTCCATTTCCACTTTGCATGTGATTGTTGGGGGTGATTTTAATTTGATTTTTTCCCCCCATAAAGACAGGAAAGTTGTTTTTGAGTCCACACCCTAAAAGCGGCAATGCTCCTCTTCAAAATCCTTCCGCAGACTGATAAGGGAGCATCGTCTCTTTGACGCTTGGCGGATTAGACACCCTCTCCATATTATAAATCCTTCATTGGTATCCTGGCCCCCCATCTCCTCTCTTTTTATCGAGACCTTTTCAAGGGTGTCACACCCCAGACTGAGTTTTCCCCTTGCATATATTTCGGTTATCCCCAAACCCAACAAAGACCACTCTATTATAGACAACTATCGCTCCATTGCCCTACTAAACTCAGACTACAAGATTTTCACTAAAATCCTGGCCAACCGACTGTCCGGAATTATCTACAAGCTCATACATAGGGATCAAGTAGGCTTTGTACCTGCCAGGCATGCTGCAGATAACACCAGGAGATCTATTAATCTGGTTGACTTGGTTAACCGATCCTCCATCCCTGCTATATTATTGAGCTTAGATGCTCAAAAAGGATGATCTTGGTGCAGCACCGAATCACAGCACCGCCGGGTCAGCGGGCACAATCACGGCGGGAGGCGGATCACGTATATATATGGGATTTTGCGCAGGAAGTCCGCCCTGTAACAATAATCCTGCTATAGGGTGGAGGTAAAGCGGTTAAGCTAGGCCCATCTCCACCCACTGGATGCCATTTTGAGGGTTTGGTTGCCAGTTATCTTAAGGCAATCCATCCCTAGCAATCTACTCTATTTGTTTCTAAGGGTAACTATATTATTTCATTGATGATTTTTGTTTGTTTTAGGGTTGCAATAATTTTACCATGGTATTTAAAATCCCCCTCACGATACCCTGGTGATTAGATTATTATATTGTAGCTGTACTGGCATAATTTACAGATGGACTCTACCCTTTAAATCGGCTGCAGCGGGTTAACGGACTTAGCTGTACCTAGTAGTACAATTAGTTAAGGTATCTACAAGAGGGAACTAATTACTTGATATAATATAGTATACCTATGTTATAGATTTAGGAATTCATTGGGAATAAAATCTTAGCGTCTGTGTCACAATCTCAATTCCACTGTTATTAATGGTGTTTGTAAGTGACTTTGGCAGAGAATCCCAGGAATAATTAATTGATCAGCTTAAAGCGGAGCCCCACTCAAAAGGGGAAGTTCCACTGTAAGTCCCCCACTCCCTGTTAAGGATTGGCCCCTTTGGGGAGCGGGTACCTTAAATTGACAGGTACCCGCTCCCACTTCCACTGCGATCACCTAGGTGATTGGAAGCAGACGTTGTCCCCCCCCCCCCCCCCCCCCCCAGTAGTCTTCTGGGACACGTGACAGGACCATTCACAAAGCGTAGCACTACTCGCGCATGCGCAGCAGGCACCTGGCAATCTCACCTCAGACATAGATATTAGCAAGTATGTAGTTATGTGCTAGTGGAACCTCTGTTCAGTTATTGTCAGGACTGGGGACTTTAACCACTAGCCTACAGGGCACTTATACCCCCTTCCTGCCCGGGACAATTTCCAGCTTTCAGCGCTGTCACACTTTGAATGACAATTGTGCGATCATGCAACACTGTACCCATATGAATTTTTTTGCATTTTTTTGAGACAAATAGAGCTTTCTTTTGGTGGTATTTATTCACCTCTGGGATTTTTATTTTTTCTTAAACAAACCAAAAACCACTGAAAATTTTGAAAAAAAAAAGTTTTTTCTTAGTTTTTGTTATACAATTTTGTAAATAAGTGATTTTTCTCCTTCACTGATGTGCGCTAATGAGGCTGCAGTGATGGGCATTGATAGGCTGCACTGATGGACACTGATGAGGAGGCACTAGTAGGTTGCACAGATGGGCATTGACAGGCATCACTGATGGGCACTGAAAGGCAGCACTGATACATGACACTGATAGGCGGTACTGATAGGCAGCACTGACTGGCACTGATGCGCACTGATAGGCGACACTGACTGGCACCGATAGGTGGCACTGATTGGCAGCACTGATAGATGGCACTGACTGGCACTTATGGGTGACATTGAAAGGCAGCTCAGATGGGCACTGATATGTGGCATTGATGTGCACTGGTATGCACTGATATGTGGCATTGATGTGGCACTGACAGGTGGCACTTCTGGGGCCACACTGATCATCATGGCACACTGATCATCAGTGCTCTGATGATCAGTGTGCATGTCCCCTCCACGGAAAGCCAATTACTGGCTCTCCTCTACTCTCTCGAGCTGTCAACGTGACAGCTCGAGAGGAGAGAAATGCCGATGACCGGCATTTCTGTGTTTACATGTGATCAGCTGTGATTGGCCACAGCTGATCACATGACCGAGCCGACATCTTCGGCTCTTTCCATGATCCGCTGTGTCCAAGGGACACAGCGCACCGGCGATCGCCGCGCTGTGCGCTCCCTGAGCCGTGCATGCGCAGTGAGAATGGTAGGACGTCATACGATGTCCTATCAGAGCAAGAGAACCACCTTGCGCCCGTCATACTATAGGGCGGGCGGAAGGTGGTTAAAATAGAAATTATGTTCTTTATTAAAAACAAATGCTGCAGTTTATAAAAGTTTATTGGCGCAATGATGTTGGTATAATAGAAGTGTTGTATTTATTGGAACATTTCTTTGGTAACTAACGTTTTAGTGATAATTTATAAAAGCAGCTGTTGTAGTTGCTGTGTAAAAACAACACTTCCTTATCAAAAAAGGAGACAATTCTCCTAAGACTTAATTCACATGGGCAGGGACACCCTTCCTGCATGCAGGCTTCCTTTGTTATTGCACCTATATGCGCCCCAGGCTGTGTGTTGACAGAATATAGATGTGGACATAGGCGCAGAAGGTGTACAGACACAGTCACATTTTGACATGTGGGCAGGGGCGGGTGCAAAGATCTGAACAGACAGTGTGAACCCGCTCCTGACTGCATGTCATGCCTCTGCATCAACCTATAAAGGATGCCTGCACACAGCCTGGGAAACCTTTGGGCACAATAACAAAGGCAGGGTGCAATTAGGATGGGTATCATTGCTCATCTGAACAAAGCCTTATTGTCTACTATAATATTCTGAATAGTTAAATGAAATAAATGATTTTGTTCTTTCACATACAAATACTATCTACATATTTTTACAATGTTGCACTTTGTTTTTTGCCATTTAATGTGAGCACATGGCTGCCATTGTTATGTCAGTTGGACCATGATTTTGTTGCATGTCTTGGAATAATTGAATTTTCTTCTGGTTTATACCTGGTTTACAAACATAACACAATTAAAGCCCCAAATCCAGGCAAAAATTAAATTTAAACAGTGCATTGTGTATGACCTACCTTGTTCCTCAGTCTTGATTCCAAACACTTCCTAAGCCATCCTGCACTGTAAAGGATCAAAGTCAAAGTTTCCAATATGAGTCAGGCTAATATGCTGCTCTGAGGATCAGGTATTTTTCCCTGCTTGTTTTCTTGTTCTCCTGCCTCTGAAGGCTATCAGAGAGGACCTGGCTGCTGGAACTGTTGTCTCCACCAAATAGAGATGTGCTCACTGTGCAGGCAATGCTGAAGACATCAGCAGAAGGCCCTCTGGAAGTAAAAGGAAGAGAGAAGGATTTTCACATGACAGAATCTTCAGGTAAGTAAAATGAGCAACTAACTTAGTGTCTGTTAGTTAGCGTACCTCCCAGCCACCATCAGTTAGCCTCATATTGCCCACTACACTATCATAGTCCCACTATAAGTCACTCAACACCTCCATTACTAGTGTCATAGCTGCGTAAATTCCAGTATACAGTATATACGATAGTTTGCAGACACTATAACTTTTGCACAAACCAATTAACCATTTGCTTACTGTGCTATAGCCGAATGACAGCTACAGCGTAGTTGTCCAGTTCTGGGATGGGCGTCATATGATGTCCTCCCAGAACATGCCCTCCTGTGTGCACCCAGCAGCACACACCCAGCGCTGTCCGTAATCACTGTGTCCTATGGACACAGCTAATCACATGATGATGTAAAAGGCCAAACACAGCAGCCTTTTACCACTCGATCAGCTGTGTTCAATGACACAGCAGATCACAGAGTAATCACTCAGCTGGTTATTGGCTGCACTTTTCTCACACTGTCACACATAACCGGCAACTGTCACAGAGGACATCTGCACTGATCATCAATGCCCTGATGATCATTGCCCAGAAGTGCCACCCACCAGTGCCTCCCACCAGTGCCCATCAATGCTGCCTAGCTGTGCTGCCCATCAGTGCTGCCTATTAGTGCCCATCAGTACTGCCCATCAGTGCAGCATCATCCGTGCCTTCTCATCAATGCCAACCAGTGCCGCCTCATCATTGCCCATCACTGCTGCCTCATCAACACATATCAGTGAAGGAGAAAAATTATCTGCTTGCAAAATATTATAATAGAAACAAAAAAAAAAACCCTTTTTTTTTGCTCTTTTCTTTGTTCATAGTGTAAAAAATAAAACACTCAGCGGCGATTAAATACCACCAAAAGGAATCTCTAAAATTATAAAAATGTCATATGGGTATAATGTTGTAGACTGCACAATTGTCATTCAATGTGTGAGAGCGCTGAAAGCTGAAAATTGGCCTGGGCACAAAGGGGGTAAAAGTGCCCGGTAGGCAAGTGGTTAATATACTGTACATCTATTGGGACTTTTTTTTTTAACCGCATGCCGCCCAGCCACTGTACATATACGGCGGCAGGGCGGCACTCACAGGCAAAACCACGTTTTAAGACGTGTGTTGTAAACAAATAGGGGGCGCGCGCGAGGCGCGCCGCCGCCCTATTTGTCCCGCGGTTCTCTGCCGCAGATGTGAGTCGCCGGTTCACAGCCGCTCCTTAGCGGCTATGTCCCAGCGATCGGCGGCAAACAGTGACAGAGAGCACAGCTGCAGTAGCTGTGCTGTCTGTCACTTCCCTGACAGCTCGAGGATGAGCTGATCGAAAAAGAACAGTTTTTCTTTCTCGATCAGCCTTGTCCCGCCCAGTACACACCCCCGCCCCCTAGTAAAACACTCCCCTCACTCCTATAACCCTTCCCTGCTAAATAAAGTTAACCCCTTCCTCCCCATTGCCATTAGTACAGTGTCTTTTTTTTTTTTTGCACTGATCACTGTATTAGTGTTTTTGGGGATGTCAGTGACCCCAAGTCAGTACCCCCCAATGTCAAAATGTCCGCCGCAGTCCCGCCATAAGTCGCTGCCATAAGTCCCTGATCGCCGCCATAATTCGCTGATCGCCGCCATTATCAGTATAAAAAAACCCCTAAAAATCCCAGTATCTTTCCCGCCATTTGTAAACGCTATAAATTTCATGTAAACCAATTAATTTACACGTATTGGTTTTTTTTTTTAGCAAAGACATGTCGCAGAATACATTTTGGCAGAAATTTATGACTAAATTTGATTTTTGCATTTTTTTTTTACTGGACATGTTTTATAGCAAAAAGTCCAAAATATTGTTTTTTTTTTTCCCTCAAAATTGTCAGCCTTTTTTTTTATAGCGCAAAAAATAAAAACCGCAGAGGCGATCAAATACCACCAAAACAAAAGCTCAATTTGTGGGGAAAAAAAGGATGTTTCATTTATCTACCATATTGCATGACCGCGCAATTGTCCATTAAACTAGCGCAGCGCCGTATAGCAGAAAAATGGCGTAAATTGCAGTATTTATACCATAGTTTGTAGACGCTATAACTTCCACAAAAAGCAATCAATATACACTTATTGGGATTTTTTTTACCAAAAACATGTAGCAGAATACATTTTGGCCTAAATTTATAACCAACTTTGAGTTTACTATATATTTTTTATAGCTGAAAATAAAAAATATTGTTTTTCTTCAATATTTTTGGCCTTTTTTTGTTTATAGCGTGAAAAATAAAAAGCACACAGATGATCAAATACCACCGAAAGAAAGCTCTATTTGTGTGAAAAAAAGGACGTAAATTTCGTTTGGGTGCAGCATTGCATGACCGTGCAATTATCAGTTGAATTAGTGCAGCGCCAAGTAGCAAAAAGAGGCCTGGTCATTAAGGGGGGTAAATCCTCAGGAGCTCAAGTGGTTAACCAAAGACATGTATCAGAATACATTTTGGCCTAAATGTTTGAAGACATTTGATTTTTTTTTCTTTTTTGGATATGTTTTAAAACAGAAAGTAGAAAATACTGTTTGTTTTCACAATTTTCAGTCTCTTTTTGTTTACATCGCAAAAATAACAAAAACCCAGTGGTGATCAAATACCACCCAAAAAAACTATTTGTGTGAAAAAAAATATTTAATTTGGGGACAGTGTTGCATGAACATTGCAACAATTGCCAGCTAACATAGCACAGTGCTGAATATTGAATTGAATGTTCTACTTATGAAGGGGGTAAAACCTTCTGGAGCTCAAGTGGTTAAAGAGTATCTAAACCCAAGAGCAAAAATGTAATATATTGCAGCTTACCAATCTTTAAATGTGGTGGCTGCATTCATTTTTTTAAATATTCACCTGGTGATCCAGCCAGTAAGTATATTTTTCAAATTCTTTTAACAGACCATACTGTCCAAAAAAAGTGGAAGTTAGGGCTCGTTCACACGTGAGTCAATACCATGTGTTTATGTGGCATTTATTCAGCATTTTTAAAGCCTCATAACTGCCCTTCAATGCCTGCCATCATTATTACAATGGCACCACACAGCTCTGTTCACACAGGAGTGGTAGTGTGTGTCGTGTTATGTTAAAAATTAAGCAGCTTGTCACTTTCATGAGGCATCAATGCTTTTTAACCACCTCCATTGATTTCATTGATGATGCTATACTTGTGAAGTGTTAACTGGGCTTTGGGGGATAGACAGTGGAGGCTCCGGTATCCCAGAATGCACTAGGAAATAATAAAGAATTGGGACAGAGCAGCTCAAGTCTCTTCCTGGTGTAAAGAGCAGCCATATGGCAACACCATTTTGTTCTGTGTGCAGACAAAAGCATCCAGCCAGCAATACAGACAGTGCCAGGGAGGATCAGAGGCACTGTGCTTTATTGCCGGTAACAAAGCTTTTTGCATCAGCTAAACCAAGCCTAGTGTCAAAGAGATCCGAGTATACTAATCCATTTCACAGAAAATTCACAAAAATGTCTGCTATCACACAAAACCCAACCAAACCTCAAATTAGATAATTTTC